CACACACACACACACACACAAAAAAAAAAAAAAAACACAATCTGAAACTGACAACAACAGCAACGGACCGCAATGCATTCAAATGCAGTCATGATAACCTGCATGCCGATAGTAAAGCGAATGTCGGCACCTGCAGCATTGAACTCCAAGCAAACACGATAAGACTCAAACGGTCGAAAACTTTGTATGCAACTACACTCATTCGTGGCGATGCTAACCATAGAGAACAAATTGCTAACAGCAGCGACGGCCAACAGAATGATGGGCTGAGGAGTGATACGCCGATCGAAATTATGTCGTTGGTCTGAGTAAAATAGCACCGCATGCACATCAGCAGCAATAAGCATCCGCTTCAGTAGCAGCATTGCCTTGGTCATCATCATGTTCACCCTACTCTTCCGCATTACCATCGACAGCATCACCGTCACCATATCGACCATCGTCGGACCAATGCTGCGACCGCTTTCTTGCAAATCAACAGCAGCATCAGCACTAGCATCGCCAAGCTCTCTGTCATCATCATCCTCATCATCATCACTATAACCGTCCTGCTCGCCGCCAACCACATACTCCTGACAGTCATTGCAATGACTTTAGAAACAACGATACCGCTGCTGTCTACAAGCCCGAACAAACTATGGTTGTTGCGATGGCACCCACACGACAAGAGGCACCATGCAAGTGGCAAAGGTGTCACAAAAACACGAAGATGGGTTGACCACCAACCGTGAGCTGCTGATGATGGCGGCAACGATAGTGAACGTGATGATCGTGATGAGAATGCTGTTCTGGGTGATGTTAGAACCTAAAGCACGAAAAAGTACAGGCAACATGTTCATAGCAGTGGACCGGTACTTTTGAGCATAGAAGCAATGCCGCAAAATCTGAAATTTCTTCAGGGCTGATAAAGTTAAACAAATCTCTGATCGAACACATGTTTCTGTAAATGCTCACGTGCATCGGAAGGCCTTCGCTGGAAGAAGTGAACAAAGTAGCTTGCCAAGCGCCGGAGTTCGTCATCTTCAGGAATCCATTTCCATCCTTCGACTTTGAGCATATTTTGCGCGCTGGCTTCGTTGACATGAGTGCCGGATTTAGTTCCGTCGCATGTAACGAAAACCCGTGAGGACGTTGTGAATCTCGTGCCATCTGCGATGTCCTCGAATTCATATACCACAGTCTCCAAATCCAAGATTTGCATGGGCGTCTGCGACTTGTCGTGACGTGCCAAGGGATTATGGTGACTTAAGTCACCATGAACGAGCCAGACGCTTCTACCAGGAGACGATGTGTCCTGCAACCGTCGATCCCCATGTGCACTGTCAGCAACCCATTCCACAGATGTCGCCTGTCGGAGCAAACGCTGCGCGAGAGGTATGGCATTTCTCCCTGCCTTAGTGCTGCGGAAGCCAAGCTGACAAAGGCCTTCCTTTTGCTTCTGCAACAGGCACAGTACCAACTCTCCGGCGAACGGCCGAATCTCGGTTCTCGGCCCGTCGTACCGAAGAAGAGTGTGCTGGAAATCAAGCAGGATCAAGTACTTGCTGTCTGCATGCATACGAGCAGCCTCAATTGCGTCCACGCTCATCGTACCCATGCTTACTCCCGCAGTTTCGTTGCAAGAGCTCCCATCCTCTGACAGCTTGCTGCCGCGACCGGGTTCTGTTGTGCTTGAACCGGTGGGTCGTGTCATGGTGCCAGATTCAGTCCAGATTTCTCCGCCTGCCACATATCTTCTGCAATCAGGACAGCCAAACATGCGGCAGGCATCCTCTCCGCAGACATAAACAGCTTTGTCTTCACCTGTACATGCGCAGTGAAAAGCTTGCGGTGCATAACTCCCACAACGGCAGCAGTTTGGCATGGCGGGACAAATTAATGCAGCTGCTACGAATCCCAATGCTAGGCTGTGCCAAGACTCTCCACTCCAAGACGACCCTCATATTTGGGGATTTTAAGTTCGTGGGCTGTGGGGATTGAAAGGTTCAGTCCTCTAATATCTATCCGACTATCGCTCTACGATGTGTTGACAAACCTCTTGCATCGGCAAGCTCACGGCCAAACCTGACATCCCAAATCCCCACCAGTGCGAAGTCGAGGAGGCCCAGACTCAAACACGAACACCATTCACCTTGAATCCTAAGTTTCAGAAGGCCTAACTCCAAACTACCAAGATCTCAAACATCCCACAGCTCGTTTGAAAGATTAGGACCTAGACTGACGGGATGCAACCAGCGCTTGATGCAAACTCGTCGTCTGCGGCCATGGTTCGACAAATGCCAGATGCAGGGAACTTGTAACCTTAATAACCCCAAATCTCAAACCCTAACACCTAAACAAAGTCTAGACATTTGGGCCGTAAACCCCAACACCCTAAAAACCCAAAAGGCCCTACCCTAGGTTCTTAAGTAGATACTTAAACCCTGAAGAGCAAACCTACATCCCAAACCCCTAATCCCTAAACCCTAAACCCAAAGCTCTAAACCCTACGCCCTAAACCCTAAACCCTGAACCCTAAACCCTGAACCCTAAGCCCTGAAACCCAACTACACCCTACAACTCCAAACGTCCCCAAACCTCCAACTCCAAAGACCTGAACCTTACGGGCTAAACCCTACGTCCAAAAGGCCTTCAAGATTTTGGGGTCAGGGTTTAGGATTCAGGGTTTAGGGTTTAGGATTCAGGGTTTAGGGTTTAGGATGCAAGGTTTAGGGTTCAGGTTTAGGGTACCCCAAACCCTGAACGCCGACCTTCCAATCTCCCGACAGTAAGGAACATACCTTACGTTATAGGGTTACTTGAAGGGATCTACCTATAGAGCTTTGGGTGTAGGATAAGATCCTTGAATTACGGAATATATCTTGAGTCCTGGTAGGATCCCCTGTATGATCTAATGTATATTCCTTACTTATTGGAAGGTCCAACCCCAAACCGTAATAATGCCTAAACCCAAAGCCGTAGCCCCTTGCCACTCCACGTCATGAGCAGAACCCTGGTGCTGCGAAACTTGCACTATGACAGGTGTCTTAGGAATTAGACTGAGGTTTCAGGGTCCTGAACGGTTCCGAAAGAGTTTCGTGATAGGGGCCTTCGTGCCTGCCAGGTGACAACTGCTACTTGCCCTCCAAACTACTCGCACCAGAGTCGCAAAGTCTTGGGAAGCTTCAAACAGCAGGTAATGTTGACCATATAAAAGCCTTGTTCAGTCCGTATAGCCGGAAGCTTAACACAAGGACTTCCCATAGGGAGTGCCTTTTTCAAAAGATCCCCTCCTGTGGCGTCCTGTGGTGGTACGTACTTAGTGCTGAACCCTGAATATGAAAAAAAGTGAGAACACAAGCTGTCAAAACCCCTCCGGCCGAAAACATACGGCGGGAGAAGCCCTTTCGGCCCTTTCAAGCCCCTAATTTAGAATACCTAAATTTAAGCCCTAAGCCCTCCACCGTGGCCGAGCGTCGCTGAGGATCAGCCCAGAGAGAAAGAGCAGAGCAATCGCGAGGCCGAGGGTAAGCAGAGGAGCGCAGCCGATCATGCAAGCGGCTTCGCGTCTAGGGTGTCTGTGTGTGTGGACGCGTCAGTGTTTAATCGCTGGGGCGGAGTGTCCCTGGGGCAAGGTCTAGGGCTTCATGTATGGCATGAGGTCTTGTTGGTATCAGAAACCCTCAAAGCCCTAAGCCCTAGACCCTAAGCCCTATACCCTAAGCCCTAAAGCCTAAACCCTAAACCCAGGTAGGGCATCAGAAGTTCTACGGCTTCCGCACTTCCGAGCTTCGAGGCTTGGAAGGTGAAGGTAGTTCTCTAAATTAGGGCCCTAGGGTCTAGGGTTTAGGGTTTGGGGTTTAGGGTTTGTTTAGGGTTTAGGGTTTAGGGTCTAGGGTTTAGGGTTTAGGGTTTAGGGTACACGAGGGTCCCTTTTGAGGGCTGCAGGCTGAAAGACTGAACTCGTAGCCTCGGCAGAAGATTCGTTTCTGGCACTTTTGAGCCCGAGAAGAGCCCTTCCAAAGATCTTAGGACCCTATAGACCCTAAACCCTCAAGCCTAAACCTTAGACCCTAAACCCTAAACCCTAAAGCCTAAACCTTAGACCCTAAACCCTAAACCATAAACCCTAAACTTTAAAAACCCTAAACCTTAAACCCTAAACCTTAAACCCTAAACCCTCGTCTACAGTCCTTATAAAGCCTCTCGTAAGTTTGAGCGGTGGAAGACTGTCTTGTCAGCTACTGGTCGTCGCCTCGCTGCGAGGAGCCAGGCTCTTCAATGGGCCAAGAAGCTGCGGGGCTTTAGGGCAATAGGGGTTTAGGGGTTAGGGGTTTAGGGGTTAGGGCTTTAGGGCTTTAGAGCTTTAGGGCTTTAGGGCTCTAGGGCTTAGGGCTTAGGGCTATAGGGCATAGGGCTCAGGGTTTAGGGTCATTTCTATCTTTGCTTTAAGCACCTGTTTCCACCCGCGGATTCCTAAAAACTTTAGCATTTAGGGTTTACAGCGTTTAGGGTTTAGGGCTTTAGGGGTTTAGAGTTTAGGATTTAGGGTTCATGGCTTTAGGGGCTTGATAGAGCGGTATAATTCAAGAGCTCCGCAAGAGCTCTTGGAAAAAGAGCCATGAAGGATTTCCCACAAGATTCTTCTTTATCTACAAAGTACAATGGCGAGGATACGTGTATATTGCCTAGCAGAGCTTCGATGTTACGGCTGATGATACAAATCCTGAACTAACCACGATAAGGAATATACCATAGTTCTCATAGTTCAGGGACCTTCAGGTACTGCAGAATTTATATCGTCAACCGTAGGAATCATGATGATGATGGTCTTGTAAGCACTCAGGAGCCTTTGGGACGGCACGATTGAAATACACCCTACCTGGTGGGTTCCTTGTTAGGATGTCTTTCTACAGGTCCTAAAAACAGGTAGGTTATTTGGGGTTAAGGTAACCCCTATCTCCTCGCCTTTTGGACAGCATTTTTGCATAGGATCCCAATGTTGGGGAAGGGGTTCGGGGTTCGATGAGCTTCCTGGCCTTCGGGTTTAGAGGTTAGGGTTTAGGGCTTAGGGTTTAGGCTGTAGGGTTTAGGGGTTTAGGGTTTAGGGCTGAGGGTGTAGAGAGTTTAGTAGGGTTTAAAGATATGTTGGGGCCCATGTTCGGCTAGGCAGAAAGTGCTGCGGTGATGGCTTGCATAATCATCTACTGTATAGGCCCGACCCTACAAGGATCCTAGTAGAGAGCAACCCTGTAAACTCCTAGACGCAGATACACCTCTTCCAGTGACGGAGAATGCGCGGCACAGGCAATCAGAGCCTTTTACGTAGTCAAACTTTTGCAACATGTACTAGGAGAAGCTGAATCAAACCTCACCTCGTCAGTCGCGAAACCTTTCTTTACAAAGCCCTGAAAGGAACCCTGAAAGAACCCTTGTAATTAGGGATGCAAGATCTTATGATGAACTTATAGAACCTTTCCTAGATGCCTTAAAAAGCGATTCTTCGCGGCCTCGGAGGTGGACAGACGCCTCGCGGCGACAGCCCCCTGCCGCGAAAAGGTGTTTTCTCAGGGCTGAGGGTTAGGTCCAGGGTTTTGGGGCTTGGAGGGTTTAGGGTTTCGGGCTTAAGGTTTAGGGTTTAGGGTTTGGGGTTTTGGGGCTTGGAGGTGCCGGCTTGAAGGCTTCTAGGGAATCGAAGGTTGTCTTGTGGCGTTGTTTTTTTGAGAAACCGCTTCACTCTAATGTATAGCCGTTTTAAGCATATTGTTGAAGGCGTCGCGAGGCGAGAACACCCATGCGCTTGCCATGGAATGTCGGATTGCAGACTGACGTGACCAGTGATAAAACAACAAAACATGTTCACCCTAAAACCCAAACACCTACACTGCCCTACACTACCTTTACCAGAAGCCTTATGTAGGTACGGGCCCCTATACTACCCTTAACGGAAGCCTCATGTAGGTACGTGGAGTATTGGTGTAACGATAAAGGAGATCCTCCAGATCCATAAGTCTGAGGATCTGCAACCAACCCCCCGGTGCATGGCCTCCAGGACCCCTGCATTTTTGTTCAGAGGTAATTAAGTCATTCCGACCGCGGTTTAGGGTTTGGGGTTATGTAAGGTTTCAGGGCTTAGGGTTTATAGGGTTTAGGGTTTAGGCTTCGTTGTTTAATTAACCCTAACCGTCCAGGTACCTACTATATAGGGGTCTAGGGGCCTCTAGTACCCTATATAGTAGGTACCTGGCGGGTTAGGGTAAGTCATTTCGACCTTCTTTTGCGTGATGATATCTTGCGACCGTTTCTATCCAGGCTCGTTTAAGGGGCTCTCATGTCTGCCATGAGCAGGAAGCTATGGTACATGGGTGATCCTAGGGACGGCCTCTGAGATTTAGGGTGTGAAGGGCGTACAACATCATTCAGGATTCAAGGCTTGGGGGTGTAAGGTCTTGGGTGTAACCCGGTCGATGCAATTCCTGCGGTGCTTCGTCCACTTCTGACAGCCCTGATCCAGGAACAGGAAACAGCAGCGATAGAAACAAACACCCTAAACCCTAAACCCTAAACCCTAAACCATATGCGCATGATCACCCTCTCAGCCTGGAGTTGGTCAAGGTCGCAAACCTCAGACCCTACATCCACCATCGCAAGGGTTTAAGCAACCAATATACGCAAGCGTAGTATTGATAATAATAGTAATAATAGTAATAATAGTAATAATAGTAAAAATAATAACAATAAGAATAATAATAATAATAATAATAATAATAACAATAACATGTACATACTATTTTCGCTCGAACAGTATACACAACCCTAAAAGGGTCCATGTGCCCAAATAGTGTATACTTTGGCCTCAATGTAGTCCCTATATAGGTACTGTGG